GTTATAATGTATTGATACTATATTAATATATTGAAGTTTTAACTAATAATTATAATGTTACATTTTATACCATAACAACGCAAAAATACACTACATATATGATTTATAAAAAGTTATCAAAAACAAGATAAAAGATTAGAAATCTATAGAAATCAACTAGTGTTGAGAAAAAAACACTGCTCATGTACCTATAAAGTCCACTATCCTAATACTGGATATACAAACTACAAGTTACTTGTTATTTTTTTTATTAAGATATAAAATATAATAAAAATTATGTAATATTAAATAGAATTTACAACTGATTAATTTTTTTTGATGAACTTCTATTATTGATGAATAAAAAAATTTTTTAACTGTGCCATAATACCCCCCTTTACCTTATGTATTTAGGGAGGTAATTTCAAAAAAAAATATAAAAATACACTCTGTAAATCTTTTAATTTTTAATTTTAATAATTTTTTTGAGCCAGATTCTATAGATCTAGAGGAGAAAAAATGGTAATTATATAGTTTAAATGGTCTACAGAGTTGTAAGTGGATAATACTTCATTTATTTTATTAAATTAGATGATTTTCAGGAACTAGTGTCTCGGGTGGCGCAGTACTGTTCTATAGATCTAGATGAGAAAGAAGGATAATTGTATAGTTTAAAAGGGTCTACAGAATCGTAATTGGGTAATACTTCATTTATTTATTAGATTATCTGATTTTCAGGTATTTTTAATAGGTTTTTATTGCTTCAAGAGAGTTATAATTAATAAATTGGCTGTTTTAAAATAATAAAATAGTTATTTTATTAATGATCAATTTTTATTTTTATCAAATATTTCAAATATGACTAAAGAGTACTATAGTTATTTAAAATGAAATGATGTTATTAATCTTATTTTGGAAAAAAACAATTAATAATTTCAATAAAATAAAAAACAATTAAAAATTTCAATAAAATAAAAATAATTTATTATAAGTAATAATTTAGATTGCATATTTTTTACCAAATTTTAAATATCTCAAAATTTTTGCATCCTTTGCTTAGAGTCACCTCTTAAAATCGTGATCGTGGGTTGTGGATTCTTCTTTGTTTCTATTATTCATACATAGTACAAATTTAGAACAGTGTACTAAATTTCGCAACTGCTATAGTGTATACGTGTCACGTATTATATTATTAATATACCAAATTTATTTCTGCATACATCATCTTTGTTGAACAAATAAATTATGCACATATCTCACAACAAAAACAGGTTCTCGGCTCAAATTTTTTTTTGAGAAAATAATTTAAAATTATTTTCGAATATAATTATAACAAAATCTCCAAAAATTTTTTTGAGCCGAGAACCTGTTTTTGCTGTGGGATGGATAGATAAAATACAAAAAAAAAATTATTTGGGCTTTAAATTAAAAAATTATTTTTTAAATTTTGTGTTCAAAATCTTTATAGAAGAAATTTAATTACTAATAATAACATGATACACGGAAAGTAAATAGAGGTGTAATAAATTAATTAAAATAACCATAGGTGTAAGGAACCTTTAAATTTATTTATTATAATTTAAATTTCGAAAAATTTTTGAATGTTTTATGAGATTGTGAGTAAGATTATCTAATTTAATAAACGTTTATGTGCTATGCTTTATATATATATATATTTAAAAGATTAATTATTAATATTGTTATTATAATTCTGATCATAAAATTTGATGGATTTAATTCCAAATATAAACTAATTAAACACAAAATGATAGAATTGGATAATAGTGATAATATTCAAAAGGTATAAAAAAATATTAATATATATTTATAATAATTTTATTAAATAAGCTAATGCCAATGAAATTATCAAAGCTGTAATCGGATCAAGTTTTGCCGACCTTCCCGCAGAACTAGGAATAACAGGACGGATAGTAGTAGAAGAATTAGGAGTAGTAGTAGGCCTAGGGGTAGTAGTAATTTTAGGGGTAGTAGTATTTTTAGGGGTAGTAGTTGGAATTTTAGTAGAAGAGGTTGTTCTAATGGAAGTTCTGGAAGTAGGAGAAGCCGTAGTAATTGAAATAATAGGAGTAGTTGAAACATCAACGCCCGTAGTCGCGACAGGAGTATCTGTAGTAGCTTCATCAAGAGTTGTGGTGTCTTTGTAACAAAGATCATCAGACCCACAATGTGTGCCTGGTTTACAACAATTACCATTACTACAAAATTCATCTGTAGCAACACATGCTATATCGCATGCCTTTTGTTCTATTAAACATTCTACTCCAATAGGACAACAAAACGTTGTCCCTGTACATAAATAGTAACCAGTATCACAGGTAGATTGTCTTTTCCATTCTAGAGGACTTCGACGTCTTAAAGGATTTTGGAAAGCAAAAGCGATATTAATAAGAGTGATAACGATGAAAGCACATATTGCGAGATTTTTCATTGTTTAATTTTCTAATTTAATAAGTTGAAAATTTTTATTTTTTATGTAAATTTTTATGAACTTATGAAATTGGAATTTTTGCTTTATAGTCTGAGTTGCAGTCTTTTTATAATGTTTTTTTTGTTTATATAAATAAATCAAGATGATTTTTTTTTGTACATATAGGGTCATATGTTTTGTTACTATCGGAGGACGGCATTAATTATATTTCTTTATTACTCTTGATTAAATATTGTTCTTAAATTCTATTCGATGCATGTCTTTGTGTCTGCAACTTCCTGCATAAGTTGTAACATTCTATGCTTCTTAAAGGCGAAATTATCGAAAGAATTAATAAAGGTGATATAATAAAATTTATTTATTTATATTCAATAAAGTATAAAAAATCATTACCCAATAGAAATAATTAATGTGTGTTATGTAAAATTTAGCCTCAAATTACATAAGTGCAACCATGTGACAAATATTTTTGCTTGCATGATTTGTGAAATTTTAAAATCTATAAAGCAATTAAAAAATTAAATTTATTGTAATACTAAAAGGTATTAAAAATATTAATTAGTGTAATAATAATAATGCTAATGTCAAAACTACAATCGATATGTGACCAAATGAATCAAATGTTGCCTGCTTTCCACCTTTAGATTTAATGGGAGTAAAACTAGGAGGACCTTGAATATTGGTTTTAGAGGTACTAGAAGAACTACCAGTAATTTTAGGTTTAGTAGGTGTGGTAGTGGTTCTAATACTAGTGGTTCTAATACTAGTGGTTCTAATACTAGTAGTTCTAATACTAGTAGTTCTAATACTAGTATAAGAAGTATAAGAAGGAACATAAACACTAGTAATAGAAGGAACATAAACACTAGAACTAGGACTAGTGCCTTCGTGACAAAAACTATCGGTTCCGCAATATTGGCCTTGTTTACAACAAGTGTTATTACCGCAGTCTACATCTGCTGCAGAACAATATACGCTACACTTATTCCCATCTATACAAGTTGAACCTATAGGACAACATCCTACTCCATTCGAACATAAATAATAACTGGAGTCGGAACAGGTTGTTAAATTGGTTTGATCTTCATCTAGGAATGTTAATCCTCTTTTCAATTTATTAGGATTGCTCAAAGCAAAAGCGAAATTATTGATAAGGATTACGAATAAAGCAAATGTTAAGAGATTCTTCATTTTTGAATTTTTTCTTTATAGGTTAAGAATTTTATTTTATAAAGTCTAATTTATGTATTTATGAATTTATGAACTTGTAGAATGAAATTATGAAATGAAACTTATGAAGTAAAACTTATGAAATAATAATTTTTGTTTTATAGACTTCTTCATTAGTCAATTTCTCAAAAAGCAATCCTTTTTATAGAGAATCTTAATATATGTAAAATGATTTTATTTATACGGCATTTTACTATATAGATATGAAATATTTATTAAAGGGTATTCTTTATTATTTCGGAGAAGGCATTTAAGAAATTTAATTGATAGAAAGGAAAATAACTTCCATCACATTATTACTATTTCCTTAAATGTTATATTAAATGTATGACAAACGATTTTATCTTCTCAACAAGTATTTAGAGACATTTATTTATTTTTCTCAATGACCTTTATAAATGTAGACAATGTTCTTGGTAAGCCTTGTTGTGTTTTTTTTTCAAGAGCATATAACAAAGCAAAGATACTAAAACTTACCGAAAGATTAATTTCATTAACGAGTAACGTTACATCATTTAATATCGAATAATTTAATGTTGCGCAATTTAGGTTTTCATAGTTTTCTAGATTTTTGTTGTATAAAATTGGAACCTAAAACCTTAAATTAATTAACTATAAATCTTACATAATCTAATTAGCCAGATACATAAAAAATAAATATGAAATATCGGATGATGATGATAATACTCATAGTATAGTAATAATAATATTATAAAGAATTTGTCAAATAAGTTTATGAAAATGTCAAAAATGTTAACTAAATGCCAAATTAAGTGTTGCCTGTTCTCCACTTTTTTTAACAACGGGAGCAGAAGTAACCTGAGTAATTTTAGTAGAAGTTTGAGTAATAGTCTTAGCAATTTGAGTACTAGAAATAAAACCAGAAGAAGTACAATAATCATCAGCTCCACAATAATCGCCTGCGATACAACAAGTACCATCGCCGCAGTCTACATCTGTTGAATTACAAGCTATACTGCATGTCAATGCTTTCTCATTACAACTTGTGCCTATAGGACAACAACCTGTTCCTCCCGTACATAAATAATAATTTTTCAGCACATGTTGAATTATCGGATAGTTTTTTTTTCTTTTTAGAAATGTTTTCTCTCTTTTCCATTTTAGAGGATTTTTCGAAGCAAAAGAGAAATTCTTGAATACATTAATAAAGGTGATAATGATAAAAACAAATGTTATGAGATTTTTCATTATTGAGAATTTTTTAGATAGTGAAATTCGAATTTTTAGCTTTAAGGTTTATTTTTTTTTATAGAATTGGAAAAGCACTTTTTGGTGGATTGTACAGTACGAACGTGATTTATACCTATAAAATTTGTTATGTATGAAATTTGATCCAATCCACCTCTTTTTGGTTTTATTGAATTTCCGAACAAAAAAAAAAAGTAGTATTTTCGAACAGTGAAACAATTTATCAAATTAGAAAACGTTAAAGTAATACATTGGAATAATTGAATTTTGAATGAATTATAAAATTAATAATAATAATAACTATAATACATTATAATCCATTATAATACGCTGTCAAATAAACTAATGTAAATGAAATTGTCAAAATTATGGGACCAAATGCTGAATCAAATATTACGGACTTTCCACTTGAATTATAATTACTAGGACTAAAAGCGCTGGGAGAAGGAATGTCCGGGCTCGTACTGGTAGGCATGGATTGAATTGTAGTAGGAATATCAGTATGACTATTGTCGTCACAAGTAAGCTCAGTGCAAGTATGAGTATATTCAGTATGGGTATCGTCAGTATGAATAGGTGTATAAGTATATTCAGTATGAGTATCGTAAGTATGGGTAGGTTTATAAGTATGTTCAGTATCAATTGGGGGAGCAGGAGAATAAGTATTGGGATAAATATCAGGTGTGGTGCTTGATTTAATTTCGCCTGCAAAAGCGAATGCACTAAAGATAAAAGCAAATATTAAGAGATGTTTCATTATTTGAAAAAAAATTTTTTTCTGAGAACTTTTTTAAAAAGTTATTGAAATTGAAATTGCTTGAATTTCTTTTTATAGGGAATTCCTTAAAAATGAATTTTGTGTAATGCATTTACCAGAGTTGGCTAAAGTTGGCTAAATACTTTTAGATATTTTTAGATATTTTTAGAACATAAAATCATCTGATAAATTGTAAAATACAATTACACCATATGATTTTGAATAGTAACAGTTGTACCTGCTGCTGTACATTCAATCAAATAAACATTCAAATAATCATTCATATTGTGAGTAATGAAACTTAAATTTATTATAGTTAAAAATCTAATATCGTGAATTCATTACATATATAGAAGAAAAAAAATCAATAATCGTTTGAATATAATAAATAACAACTATAATACATTATATATAATACATTTACAATAAATTTCTTAAATAAGCTAATGTAACTGAAATTGTCAAAATTGTAATCGACATGGGACCAAATGCAGAATCAAATATTACGGACTTTCCACTTGAATAATAACCGCTAGGATGAAAACCGCCGCTGGGAATGGTATAGGTAGAAACGTCTTCATAAGCGGTTGGAGTGTAGTGAACACTTGGTTCGTCAGTATAATATTTGTCAGTATGATAATCGTCGGTATTATGAGTTTCTTTGCCAGAACAATGAGTATTATAAGAATGTTTAGGATCTTTATAAGAATAATAAGTATGTTTAGGAGTGTAAGTATGTTTAGGAGTGTAAGTATGTTTAGGAGTGTAAGTATGTTCGGGAGTATAAGTATGTTCAGGAGGGTCAGAATGTTCAGGAGTGTAAGTATGTTCGGGAGTGTAAGTATGTTCGGGAGTGTAAGTATGTTCAGGAGGGTCAGAATGTTCAGGAGTAGGTGTATGTGTATATTCAGGATCTTCACTGGAATGTTCGTCTGCAAAAACGAATGCACCAATAAAGGTGATAAAGATAAAAGCAAATATTACGAAGTTCTTCATTATTTTAATTTTTTTTTTTTACGGATTGATAATTTTTATTTTATGATTTTTAATTTATAAAATTCTTTGAAGTCGTCTTCGTTGCTTTAAGTCAAAACTCCCTGAAATGAGCGTTTTTATAATGATTTTTCAATATACATATTTCATTTTGAATCTGTATATGGTTATATGAAAATCCGCATTACAGAGCACAAAAGTTTTTCTAGAAGAAATAATTGGACAGTTCGAAGATCGGTAATGACAAATTTACTCAATGCAATGCCTCTGATTAAATATGTCGTTAACATTCTCAGTATGAATTGTATGAATTGTATGAATTGTATGAATTCATGTTTTTGTCCTTATCCATTGTTTTTAAATTATTGTCTAATAAAAAAATTATCTAACATTTAGCCAAAAGTCTTGGCCAAGAATATGTGTTACTTGTGTTATATATTAAGACAATGATTCATTGATAAAATGAAGTGCCCAAACAACGTGTTTACTTTGGAAATTTTAGAAATTAAAAATAAAAGGTGAATTACTAGATTATAATTAGACTTTTCCTCATTGAGGCAAAACTTGATAATAGTATTTATTATTGTTCTAATTCGAGTAATATTGAATGAATTCTATTTATAAATTATCTCGCAATGTTATATAATCATATTGTGAAAATTCCGACCTTCCATTTAGAACGTTAAAATTAAATTAGATTGATTTTCTTATAAATATATGCCCGGGGTCCTCATATAAAGTTCAAGTGGTGAACTTTAATGCTTGATGCAAAAAAAAGAAGAAAACAACTAATCCCTTCTATCCAAGCTATAGAGAATACGCCAGATCAATGAACTTTATTTTCAAAATTGACGATTTTTATTTATAATACCAAATTTGATTTCATTAAAAAAGTACTGTACATTAAACGCATCAAGTAAATCGGAATTAACCTTATTTGTCTTTTTCAATATTAATTAAAATAAAAAAAAAGCTAGTTTTTAATGATAAATAAATAAAAATTCTCGATATAATAATCAAAATAGATTATTCGCTATATAAATATCATGACGTTTTTATATAATTCATTATATCATTATGATATCATCACATAAGATAATGTCATAAAAACTATTAAAAATATTGTAAACTTTGATGATTTGAATGTTATTGACCAGCCATCACTTGTTTTTATAAAAAGATAAGTGGGAGCGTAGCATTTAAAATCTGTAGTATTACAAATGTAACCTTCTTCCTGACAACAGCCATCACCGCAAGATGGTATATCAGGTGACGAACTGCAATGTACAATACAAAAATCTATCAATGATTTAGAACATTCCCATCCATTTTTACAACATCCGGCACCACATTGGAAATAATTAACATCACAAGATGATGTTGAATTTGAAGTTGTATTTGTTGTCGTATCACTGGATAGATATTTTATTCCAAAAGGTGAAGAAGAAAATGACTCTATAGAGTCTATGGAGTAAACGAAATTATTACTAAAAGCGATAATGATGAGAACAAATATTATAAGATTCTTCATTTTTATGGTTCTTTTATTCTTACTACTTTATGGGAAGTTGTGTAGAAAAATTAAGAAAAATTTTTTTTATTTTTTATTTTTTCTAGGAATTTTTTTGAGTTTTCTAATTCGGTTATTTATAACATATTTTTTAATGGATGATTTCTTTAACAAAAAAATATATTGTAATCAAAACAATAGACAATTTGGGATTTTTGTACTTGGGGTAACTCTTCGGGAGATCAAGAGAACAATATTATCGAAACTTGATTTGAAACGAGTCACGTGATTGAAATAATAATATGAATATAACGGACAATAATAATTTTTAAAACATTTTTTATTTTTTTTTTTTTTACATGTATATAACATATGTATAAATATATATATAATTATATAAATAAATTAAATAAATATATAAAAGTGTAAACATATTTATACAAATTATAATATAAAAAAAAAAGGAGGAAATAAATTACAGAAAAAAAAGACGAGAGAAACAAAAAAAAAAAAATTACAAGAATAAAGGAAAAAGAAAGAAAGAAACTGTTAATTAAATTCATTTAAATTCATTTAATTATTGTTCAATAAAATCTTGTTCCCTGATAGTTGAAGGAGCAATACCAAAATTTTCTGGGTAAGAAAGATCTTGTTCTATACAAATTACTCTAATAAGGGCATAATGATGAATCTAGATAAAAATAAAAAAAAAATGAAATATGTATATAAATGGATATAGATAATAATAATTAAAGTTAATTCAAAATTCAAAAAAAAAAATAATAATAATAATAAGATTATTATTCGACAATAACAAATAAAACTTACTGCATGAAGACAACAAAACCACAATTCCCTTCCGTAAGTTGATTGTAGCGGTACACTATTATCTATTAATGGATCGGAATCAACGGTAACACTAATATTTATTGGTGTACTAAGTGGAACTGTAGTACAATCATTTGTAATAGTTGATTGTAATTGTTCTATTTGTTTAATGGCTAACATACGCGAAGTCTCTATTGAACTCTATAAATGATATATTTAAATAAGATATAAAATGGGATATGAATGGGATATAAACAAGATATAAACAGGATAAAAATGAGATAAAAATGATAAACAAATAATACGTAAAATATATAAATATATGAAAAGATCAGGTATAGAAGAGAAAAAAAAATACACACTTTACGATTTCTATTATCATAATCTAAATTCCAATTCGGAGGTTTATCCATCAAATCAAATTTATCAGTAGTATATCCTAATCTTTGTAGTGATAAAGGTTTTGATTCAAAAAGTGATTTGAAATGATCACACACGTGTCTAATTAAAATTATTTAAAATTAAATAAATATTTAATAATTAAAATTAAAGTTATTAAAAATCAAAAATTAAATTAGATGAATAGTTAAATTAATAAAAATTAACAGTTAAATAATAATAATTTATTAATAATTTTACTTTACCTTACATGTTTTCCTATTGTACTTGAAGGAACGTGCTTACTTTCATAAACAAAACCTTCGTCATTAGGTAAACTTTTTAAAAGATCTATACTTTGTTGTAAAGTTTTAAAAGCAACTCTATGAATTTCTTGTTCTACGCAAATAGTCGTCATTGGTATAATTTCTTTAATTTCTTCTTCTTCGTCGTATAAAGTATTATTTGATGATGATGATGAATAATAGGAATCTACACTAATTATACTATTTCGAGTTCCAGCACCTCGAGAAGTTGCCGCCGGGGATAATTTAGGATATAATGTGGAAAATAAATAATTACTATAATTATAATTGTTATTGTTACTGTTATAATTATTATTGTTGTTATTATTGTTATTATTATTATTATTATTTGAATTGATGTTTTTTTGTGAAGAATAATCTTGAAATTGAGTAGAAAATTTGGAAAGTAATTTAAGTAACATTATGAATGATTTTTTTTTTGGTAGTTTTTTTTTTTTCACAGCGGTATTAATATATTAATATAGTAAATATTAGATTATATTAGGCTGTAATAATAGAAATGGCAATATTATTATAGTGGCACAGAAAAATAAGTCCTTTTGTTTCTTAAAAATGAATTGGATTATCTATTTATTTATTTCTCTATCTATTTATTTATTTTTTTTCTTTAAATTGAGGTTGGAGGATAAAAGTAAAATTCGAGAGGGAAAAAAAAAAACTTGGGGGGTTTATATATATAATCAAAGCTAACCAACAATAAATTAATTATATTAAAATTATGTTATGCATGAGGAAAGGAAGTGCAACTGTGCATTCACCAAAATTTTTATATGATTCGGATAAATTTGTCATTATTTACAAAATTTAATAATTTAATACATTCGTTTTATAAATAAAATAAATAAAATTTAAATTAAATGTTTCATTATATCAAATATGTTCTAAATGGTTCGATTTTTCTTAATGTTTAAAACGGTTTAACGGTAGAAATAGCAAGAAAATTTTTTAAAATAAATTTGTTTGATAAAAAAATTTTTTTAAAAAAAGAAAAGGAATTATTATAAAAAAAAAAAAAAAAAAGATGGCGTAAAAAAAAAAAATTCAATTTAGATACAGCAAATGGAAATCCTCCTTCGAGCGGGCAGAAAATGACGTAAAAATTGAAAAAACAAATAAAGTATATTATTAGAGAGTATAAATGCTTTATTTAAAGTCACATATATATATATACACACAAAATATACAAATTAGATATGTGCATAAGCTACTAGTATAAACTGGTATAAATTGCTACGTGGTAACTTCTTGAGATAATAAGTAATAGTATGTGTGTGTATATAGTGTCAAATGTGGTCACAAATTTTTTAAAGGATCTTCATTTATGTCGATCGGGTCTGTTTCAATGCCCAATTCTTCCTATATAAATAAATAAATATAAATAAATATTTATTCAAATAAGATTTTTGTATATTCACACAGCACAGTAAAAGTAAAAAATAGAGGGAACCAATAAAAGTTAAGTTAATCTCGAAAAAAGAATATTCTTATCCTTATCTCATAATCACAAAATATTGATATAGATATATATAGACATATAGATAGATAGATATATATATAAGATAAATAAAGTTTAAGGTTATTTACCACAAGATCTTTGGTCTTTCTTTCGGTAGCTTCAGCTATTTGATTGAATATTTCTTCAAACTTGGAAAACAACAACAAAGAATATAATAATCATAAATAATGAATAATAATAATCATCATAAATAATGAATAATGAATAATGAATAATATTAATAATCATAAATCATAAATAATAATAAGGTAAGAATACAATGTTTAATGAATACAAAGGATACATTTGATTGTAACACGACATTAACACAGAAAACTTTAAAAATAAAATTAGAAATAATCAATACCATTCTTTTTCTCTGTCTCCATAGTTTCCGATTTTTCTCATAAAGTTCATCAATTTGTTTCTTTTCTTCTTCTGTTAATTGCTTAGCACCTGATCTGAGAATTGTTAATCTTTCTTCATATCCTTTATTCTAATAATTCATTTATGTTATTCTTGTGTTATCATTCTTTCATAAAAATGTTAAAAATTGTCAAGAGTACCTCTTTTTCTAATCCATTAATCCTGTAAAATAATAATAATAATAATAATTATAATAATAATAATAATAAACAATTAAAATAAAATAAAATAAATAAATAAAATAAAATAAATAAATAAAATAAATAAATATTTGAATGAGTAAATGAATAAAATAAAATACTTTGTTTCGATTTGTTCATTGGTTAAAGAATTATTTAATCCATTTAGCACTAGAATAAATAATTGTATAAAGTATATATTATGTCATGTAACGAATGAATATCTAAAATTATATAAAAAATAATAACCATCCCCCAAAATGCGATATATAAAAAAAGTAAAATACCTGATTGTAATTGTTTGTTTCGATCTTTATAATCATTAACTTCTTTTTTAAGTTCTTGAATTTTTGTATCCATCTCATTCAAATCATTTGGTGAAGGTGTTTCGAATTGATCCTAATTTATTATCAACAATCAAATCAATTAATCAAATATAGTAACTATTCATTCATACATATATATACATTTTTTATTTATATTCATATTTTATATATTTTACCTGTTTTATTACATATACAGATTGTTTCCCATAAGTTTTACATGAAACTTCTTCTTTATCCACTAGATTTGTTAAAACTTTTTGGGTTATAGCTTTTGTAACGGCTCCGTGAAGATTATTTGAAATATCAGCTAAAAATTGTTAAATTCGAACAATTGATGATTAAGGTTTTAAAATCAAATAAATTATATTATATATTATATAAATTCAATATATATAAAATATTATTAATTAATTAAAAATACTAATTAAAAATATTAATTAAAAATTAAATATTAATTAATATTGAATTAATATTTTAATTAACATTTTAATCAATATTTTAATTAACATTTTAATCAATATTTTTAATTAATATTTTAATTAATATTTTAATCAATATTTTTAATTAATATTTTAATTAATATTTTAATTAATATTTTAATTAATATTTTTAATTAATATTTTTAATTAATATTTTTAATTAATCAAAAGGCAAAAGGATACTGACACTATATGGTCGATTTTGTCTTCTTAAATATCCCAACACTTTTTGTTCAGCTAATAAAAATAATGGTAATAATAATAATTAAAACTTGTTCATATTTGTATATATGAAGGATAAGAAGAATAATTATAATAAAAGTACCATCGTCTCCTCCCCCTCCCTTAGTTCCTTTTTTATTATTATTATTATTATCTTCGTTCTTATTTGTTGAAGCTTTTTTTTGTTTTGCCATTTTTAATATTACTTGTATATTTCTTTTATATTTCTTTTATATTTCTTTATATATTTCTTTATATATTTCTTTATATATTTCTTTTATAATTTATATATTTTCTTGTTCCTATTTTTAAGAATAAAGAAATAGAAGGAAAAGTAAGAGGTAAAAAAAAAAAAAATGAAAGATAAGGTAAAATGACAAAAAAAAAAAAAAAAGACGCGTCAAATCAATTTTTATCAAATGATTCGAATGACGTAATTCAATAAGGGCTGACAATGTTTTGCGAACCATTCAGAATTTCGAAGATTTGGAATTAAAAGGATTTGATGAATCGGGAGATTTGGTATATTTATTTACAGTATTCATTTATTTAATTGATTTATATATTTATTTATTATTATTGATTTATTTATTTATTATTATTGTTATTATTAATTATCATCTATTCACCATTAATCACCATCAATCACCATATCAATCAATCAATTATCAATCAATTATCAAAATTATTATCTCAAAATTATTAAATCAAAAAATTATTAAATCAATAATTATTAAATCAAAATTATTAATATCTATAATTCCAAAATTTTAAATCAAAAAAAAAAAAAATGAGAAATGAAAATTATTATTATTATTATTTACGACAAGAATCATGAACTCCAAATATTTTTGATGCTATTAATTCTTCAATCCAATCAACATTTCCACAAGCAACTACTCTTTGCATATTCTCCGTATTTTTTAATTCATCCCACCTCGATACTATAAATTGCATAGCGGCATTTTTTAAACATGAATCATTCATTTGCCATCCTAATAATAAAATTTCATCCCAATTATCATTATTTACATCTTCCGCAATACGATTAGCAAGTAATTTTCCAAATGTTTCTAATCCCAACATATCAGCTTTCATATATGCAGTTTTTAATATATCTAATTCAAGATTTTCTTCCAATTTTCCCGTATAAAGATAAAATAATACACATCGAAAAATTTCATAATCAATTTCTTTAATTGGTACAATTTTACTTCGGCCTTCTACCCATTGACCACTTAATAATGATTCAAAATATTTGGATTGTGATGCTAAAATTATTCTATGTGCTTTAATACGAGTTCCATCTTGAAATGTAAATTCTACATCACAAAATCGATCATCATCAAAATATTTAGGAATTTGTGTGGATAAAGGAAATTCTCCATGTGTCCCATCCGCTATGGCCGCCATCATTGCAGCATTTTCTTCATTGGTGATACGTACTCGAACTATTAAATCAAATTTACTCGTCGGATCCGGATAAACTTCTGATAATTTTAAAAATTGTCGACGACCAAATACTTGATCCGATCCAAATCCAAATCTCGTTTTCGAAAATTTTTCATTTTTTAATAAAATTGGAGTTGGGATATTCACCGTACTACCACCAATATTATTCACAATAATATTATTATTATTTCCAAGATGATTATTATGATGATTATTATGATGATTATTATTATGATTATTATTATTATTATTATTATTATTATTATTATTATTATTACCACTTACTATCAAAGAAGTTGATAATGATGATTCTAATCTATAAACTTCAAATGCATAAGTTCTTTCTCTTCCCGAAGAATTACCATCTCTTTCATGATCTGTTGGAATGGCTTTAAGAAATAAACCTAAATAATTTTTATCATTTTGTGATACCCCATTTGGATACATACACATACGCCATAAATAATCTGAATTATCATTAGAAATTTTCGAAGTTGGTTGAGGATGACTTGGTTCAACGAAACTATCACTATAAAACCATCTACCAGTTGGATAAAGATCTGCTACCTCATGATAATCTCTCACTGTCCAAGTAAAAATGAATTGATCAGGTGTTGAAAGTTTGGTATTTTGTTGTGGTTGTTCTGATGCATGTCTATTAGATTGAAAAAGCCACTTAACATTCATTTCCTTTTCTTTCTTTATCTTTTTGACTGAACGTATGGGAGGAATGATGAATAATTGGTTTTGAAAAAAAATTCGGTATAATTCGTGATACCTCGATAAAGGAATAAAAAAACGGGTTTTTTAAAACTGTTTAAAAATAAAATATTTTTTAACATTTATAATGACGAATACAATAATTTCATATATCTTATATATTTTAAATATACATTAAATATATAATGAATATATATATAAATATTACTAATTAAATATATTAAATAATTCAATAGTTTTTAATAATTATAATCATTTAATAATAATTTATTAATAATTATTAACATTTATTACATACATTGTAAATCGAAGAAACCAAATATCAAACTTTTTACACGAACCTTAACAATACCGAAGCGAATACTTTTAAGAATTTAATGAATCTCGTTTGACTTTTGAATGTAAACAAGACAACGAAAAAGATAGATAAAAGATAGACGATAAAAAATAGAAAGATTTTCAAGATTTTCTAACAGGAGAAAAAAAAAAATGAACCCAACAATAGAAAAAGATGAATAGAAAGTTTGATTAAGTAAGTGATATTTTATTTGTATTATCATATTATTTTATTTTTATATTTTACATACAATATGTATTAAAAAAATTGTTGATCATTTCATTGGCGAATAATTGTATTACTGAATTAATCACCTGAATAATAATTGTAGATCACATGAAGAACGCATTTATAAAATTTATAAAGCGATAAGAAAAATATAAAGAAATGTAAAGAAAGATAGATGTGAATTCACCTGGAGCTACAATTTAATATCATATCTGATATATTACAAATAATACAAATAATAATAATGAGATCAAAATAATAATTAAAATAATAATTAAAAACAATAAAAACAATAAAAATAATAAATGATAAATAAGGTCAAATTTACCAAACAATGTAAAAAATTATCTTTTATACACTGTTGATGATAAAATTTTTTTACTTAAAACAGTGAATAAATATGTCAATCGAAAAAATAAATTTGTAGAATGTATTACAATATTTTTTCTCCTTCCTTTACCCCTCCCCTTCTAAAAGGATATAAATAATGTAAAGAATATAAAGAACGTAAAGAATGTAAAGAATGTAATATAAAGAATATATAAAGAATACCCCCCAAAACCCAAAATTCGAATATACTTTATTTATTTATTTATTTTTTTTTAAAAAGGTTTCCAAAAATTGATGTTCACATTTGCAAACATCGAATATCGAGTGTGGTTGACATAACTGTCGGCAAGTAGATTCTCGGCTGGTACCTCATTGAACCTACGAAGCCCCTCGATAAGGACGGTAAGGAAAATTTATAGGAGTTAATTAATGTTATCATTTATAATATTAAATAAATTATGGGATTGGCTATTTGTTTGTGTTATCTTTTTCTGGTAAAGTTCCGGGCAATTTTTCTATATGAAACTAATAAACTCCTACTTGAATAAATATAAATAAAGGAGAACATTGCCCGATAATGATTCCAAAATTAAATGAATCATGTGCTTTATCAATTTTCTACCATTGTTACCATTGTTTCTCTTTTTAGTGTAGACAAAATTTATTTTGTTTTAGCAAAATGATGTTATTCTGTAAAAATGTTCTATCAAAAGAATATTTGAATTTTTGGTTTCAGATCATTTTTGTTACAATTTATAATTATAAATATTTGGATTTTATTTTTTTATTACTAAATTCGAAATTAAAATTAGCTACTAATAATAATAAATAATTTTTTAATTAATTTAATATAATAATAATAATAATAATATAATAATAATAATAATAATAATAATTTTTGATAATTTGGTAATAATTTTAACTATTGTAACGTTTGGTAATAAGGTGTTCTATTTTGAATTTTGTAATGCGAAGGTTGTGGCGGTGTATATAAATAACCATTAACGAACCATAAATAAAACGTAAACGTAACGAAACGTCTTGACCAAATAACTGATGATAAAAAAATATAAAACAAATGATGAATCGATGCCTGTCTACAAAAATTAAAAAAGGATTTTTTTTGTTAGTATTCTGTAAATAACAAAAATAATAGGCAAATAAATATTAATAAATTCGTACTTCTTTTTGGGTTAAATCTTTCCTTTTAACCTGTTTTATCTTAGATATCTTTCGTTTAGATATAAGTGGTTACGGGATGACCCTACTTGTGATTCTTGCGAATGAGATTTTTTTTAATATCCATATTTGTTAATATTTGAGGGACTTCTTTATTTCTTTATCTTTGTCGGATTTTTACAAACATCATGAAATAATTTCCATTGAAATTCACCAGTTATTAAAATATTTTTGTGGAATTTGCTATTTGTTAAAAGTGAATAAATGTGAATAAAATTGAATAAAATTGAATAAAGTGTATGAAAACAGCGAATCTAATATTATATTATTTAATAATAAAAGAATTTGTATTTTCACTTTTTTATGTAAGTCCGGGCCATTTGATCATTAGTAAATAAATTTAAAATAATTAAATTTTTTTAAGGGACTAATGCTCGGTATTCGGACTTATACTAAATTATTTATGAGATTATTTCTGAGGGGAAGATAAGGGAAAAATCGAGTTTGAGGTGGATGATTTGATGATGTTATGGGATTTCTTTTTTTGAAAATTTCACGTGTGCAAATATCTAATGTAAATGTATGTATGGTTTCATTATCATTGACGTAATTAATTTTTTTTTTTTTGATTTAATTCGTTCGATTAAATGACATTTATTATATTATTATAGATGTATTGTCTTAATTGTTATAATTGTTATGTATTTATTAAATATATATATAGTATTATGTATTATATTAAATATATATATGGATTAATATATATTATTATGTATTGTATTTTTTAAATAAAAATTATTAAAAATTATTGTTAATGTGCATTACAGATTATATTGAGTATTGTTGAAGAATTATATCCTTTTTATTTATTGATTTTTGGTTTCATTTTATAACCCCAATGAAAAAAAATCCTCTTAGTGTATTGTTTATGAATCACCCGAGATATGTAAAGATTTTTAGACCTTTTTTTTCCATTTTGGCTTTGAAAATCTTTCTAAAAAAAGAGTAAAAAAATGGGCAAGTGTTTTGATAATCATAACTCCGTGATTTCAACGTGACTTCATCAAAAACAGGCAAATCATTTATGCTAAAAAATCTAAAATTCTATACAATGATAAAAAATAAAATATTAAAAATATTATAATTTGTAGTTGGTAACGCGTATATATAACGTACATATCAGATAGACATATATATAGAGAGAATGATAATACAGAGAAAGAGAAGAGATAAATTTTCAAAATTCTTACAATACAAATACAAATACAGAAGCAATTATACGCGAGATAATTAAAAAAAAAATCCATTTTCCTATAATACCAATTAATAATACTTATTAATGATAATAAAATAATAATAATTAAAATAATTATTAATACAAAATCCGTTTTGTTCTGTACAAAGGTTTTTTTTTATTCTATCTAAACGTCTTTGTCAACTTTTTATATTTTTTTTGTAACATAATAACTGACATAACAGTAATAACGACCATAATAACAGTCATAACAACCATTATAACAACCAGAATTTCTTCTTTTCACAAAAAAAAAAAATATCCGAATAAAGTAATTAATGTTCGCAATTGAAGAAAAAAGATACAATAATCGTCAACAACAACAATAACACAATAACCGCCAACAAGCACAAAAAAAAAAAAAGATAATAATCAACTAAAACCATTATTCGTAAAAAAAAAAAAATTATATATAAATCTTACCGTTTTCACCGATATTTTGATATTTCAAAATTTCAAATATTTCTTTGATATCTATACATATTTTTATTTTTTTTTCATTTTTCAAAGAATAATTAAAATTATAATAATCAAAAAATTCGAAATTATCCATTCAAAATTGGAATAATTTATTAAATTAAAATCAAATATGATTTCAAAATTCATAGCGATGATGGTAAACATAACGACGATAATGATGATTCAATTGTTAACAAAATTCAATACCACATTTCGTATATTTCATAAATTTCATAAATTTTATACATTTAACACATTACATAAGAATGATAATGATGATTACTTCGAATTTCTTGTGGTAACGGACGATAATGATGATGAGAATGAAGATAGTAATTTAATTTGTTCCGAAGAAGAAGAAAAGGAAAAAGAAGAAAAGGAAGGAAAAGGAAAGGAAAGGAAAGGAAAAGGAAAAGAAAAGGAAGGAAAAGGAAAAGAAAAGGAAGGAAAAGGAAAAGGAAAAGAAGGAAATTATAAGATAGTGAATTTATCACGAAAAACTATAACCTGGAAAAATCCAGTCGTTGAATATATTGAAGATATTGACAACAGTGGCGTCAACATTGAAGAAAATGAAAAATATTTTACTAATAGTTTAATAGACAAGAAAGTTGAAAACCATAAAAAAAGTCAAGTCATAGAAAAATGTATACAATTAATGCTTATAATTTTTTTATATTTAGAAACATTCATCGTTTTAGAGATTAGCGGCAATATAATATTAGTAGTTATGGCAGTTATTATAAGGTTAATAACGTTAATTGTAATAATTTACGTAATAATTTATGCGTTGATTAAGTTGATTAAGTTTATTAATGGTTCATTGATGAAAAGTGAATTATTACTGCATTGAGAATAAATAAACATCTAAATTATTGTCATCACGCCACGCACTCACACACACATATGATTTATTTATTATTTATTTATTATTCCATCCTTTATAAGTATTCCACCAAATTTCAATTCCATCCACAAATCCAAAATGTTTTTGATGCCATCCAAGTAAAGTTTGAGATTTACGATTTGTAAATATTCCAGTTTGTGTCATTGCTATTTCTAATTCATTCTGTGGTTCTCGAAATTTAATTTCTCCTAAAAAAAAATTTATTATAAGATTATTATAGATCATTATTATAGCAGCCAGTAATGTGGATATAACAATACATTATACTACATTACAACTATTACAACTGCACTGCGGTTTACCTTCATATCCAGTTATTCTTGCCACAGCTTTTAGAACATCACCCATAGATTCTGAACAATTATTAATAACATTAAATATTTGTGACTTGACAATATTTATACGTTCAGCCACTCTCAAATATGCATCCGCCAAATCATCAACATGAACAAAAGCCCATCTAACATTTTCATTACCAATTCCTATTAATTTACCATCACCACCATTAGCATCTTTAAACCACTGAGCAGTTAATGAACCACTTTTTCCATAAGTAGCTCCAGGTCTAATTACTACTCCATTAATAAAATTCGATTTGAGTATTATTTGTTCGCACGGTGGGCGCCATTTATCAATTTCTAGATCTGTATTAAGTGATGTGAATTCGGATTTTGGTGTATATGGTGATTCTGAAGAATAAATCTATCCAATATTTATTAAAATATTTAAAATATAATATAGCACATAATATAGCATATATTATAGCATTATATTAAAATATTTGTTTTAAAACTCACCCATAATCCAGAAGTTAAAATGTATCCCAATTTATCTCCACCTTGTTGAACTCGTCTCTCTGATATCTCTACAATATTTTTAAAGATGATATTAAATAATTCAACAGGATTATTATATTCAGAAGTACAATCAATTATTAAGTCAACCGTTTGAGCTGTTGGGAGCCATGTTGAAGGATTAGTTATATCTCCTAAAATTGGAAATACTATATTTTATATATATATATTTTGTGTAAATATGTATATGAATGATATGAATTATATGAATATATGAATTATATGAATAATAAATGATAATGAATGAATCGAATGATATAAAAAAATTATTACTTTCATCTTTAATTAACTGAACTACAAATTCAGGTTTCCGAATTAATCCATAAGTAATGTGACCATTAAGAGCAAAAGCTTTTGCCACTGAATTTCCAATGTATCCTGAAGCACCAAAAATGAGAACCTTCATTATTTTTTTTTTTAATAAAAAAAAGGAGAAAATAAAAATTTATTTATTTATTTTGTTTATCTTTATTTAATTTATTGTGTCTCGTATAACAATAAAATAAATCTATAACTGGATTACATCTTGTTGGTTTTATTAAGGTAACTCGAGGGAAAAGCAAATTTATTTATTTATTAATTTATAATTAACCAAAGAAATTGAAAAAAATTTTCATCTTATTTAAAAATGTTACCCGAAATTACTGTATATAAACGTAAAACAATTCCACGGACTTTAAAGATTATTCACACATTACTTTTATTTGAACATTATTTTTTGAGCAGAAATAAATTTTATAATAAGACAAATAATATATTTTTAATCTAATTTACTTATATGTCAATTTTTCGCGAAACTAGCTTTCAAATAAATTGAAAAATAATCATTTTCTTAACGAATTTTTTGATAGTTTGAAAATTTTCTAGATCAATGACACATTGAACCAATCCAAATCAATTTTACGTGTGATACTTGGGGTGTTGTATGTATATTTTAAAAATAATTGATTTGTTCATTTACTATTTTCTGCAATTAAACCTAATAATAGATCTTAAACATATTTGAAATAATTTATAAATAAAGAAATCAAAGTATCTAAATAAATATACTGTAAATTACAAACCTCTTTAATTGGATATCACGTCAAATTTGCAAATCATTTTGTATGAGTAGTGTTCCGATCCTAATTTAAAGACTATCCTTATCCTTAAATTTAGGGTCAACTAGGATAAATCCAGATAGATCCTAGAAATGAATACAAATTTTTAATATATTACATCTAATTTTAACTATAATGACATTTAAATCCGCTCTAAAAATATACATCTGGATCATAGAATCGATCTGGATTATAGGAAATAGGATTAAGGCTCGGAATACTAGTTTTGAAAAGATTTCAAAACCTGCCCCGTCCTTGAAACTTTTGCAAAAATCTTACAAAATGTGAGTATTAACATCATTTTATGTCATAGCTGTTTATTAATAATAGAATTGTTTTTATGAAAGTTACAAATTAATTAATAAAGATTACATTATATTTTATCACAGGTTGTGAGTATTATTTAGATTTATTATTTTAGCATCTAATAATATTTCATAACCTTTCAATTAATAATTAATTGCATTGTAATTTATCACAGGATTTGAGTATTATTTAGATTTATTTTATAATAATTAAAATCATAATTTCAAACTATATTAATATTTAATAATATTCTACCAATATTTTATTACAAGAAGTAATAATACACATGGGGAATGATCATAAATCAGCAAAATTTCTAACACAGTTTGTGTCTATTTGCAAGTACTCTACCTGTTTTTCTTCATTCATTCTGTTATATTCATATAATCATTTAAATTATGGTTTCAAAAAATTAACTCGTGTCATTTTTCTAATCAATTATTAATTAATTGAATACATATCTTATCATAGACGGTGAATATTGAATATATATAATTATTGGTATTAAAGTTGCTGGCAATTTTAAGTTTTTTATCATTATCAATTATTACATTTATATTATATAATAAATTTTAGCGATATCAAAAAATATGGAAGGTGTGATGAATGCCACAAAAACAACACCGGAAAACATTGATGTAATAATTGTAATAGCAAAAGGTTTCAAATTGAATTTGATAAATGGACAAGTTGAGATGTAGAGATTGATCAGTTTATTCAACAAACTCAACTCAATTCAAATAATCATGAAGAAGTTATTGAATGGATTCCATTTAATAAATTTTTATAATGTTATATATCATGCTAAAGGAGGCTTTGGCAAGGTTTACAAGGCAGAATGGCCTGATGGGTATATTGGTTATTGGAATAATAATTGGAAAAATGGAAAAGAATAAGGGATCCATATGTTTGCTTAAAAAGTCTTAATTCTTCAATAACTAATTCATTTTTGCAAGAGGTAAAATGTTTATATGTTTTATATGTTTGATTTTTATTATTTAAATTAACAATGAATAACTTGGAGAAGTAAAATTAAAAATTTACTTAATGTAATTGTTGGACTTGCTAAAATTCATGAGTTTGGATTAATGCACAAAGACTTCATTCTGGTAATATAGTTAATACATTTATTGATATATCTTATATTACTGATTTTGGTTTGTGCAAACCAGTTACAGAAAATGATCCAAAAAAAATTTATGGTGTAATTCCATTTATGGCACCCGAGAAATTTATTAGAGACGAATACACTCAAAAATCTTACATATACTCTTTTGGGATGATTATGTTAGAAGTTTTTACTAGTTACCCACCTTATTATAATATCTCACATGATATGAGTCTTGTAATGGACATTTGCAAAGGGCTTAAACCTGAAATTAAGTGTAAAATTCCTCAATTACTCAAAGGTTTAATGGAAAAATGTTGAATATGGATCCTCTTGAACGTCCAACTGCTAAAGAATTGAAAATTCAGCTTAGAAAATATTTAGAAGAGTATTATTCTAATGATAAGCTAAAAAAAAACAAATTGAAGCAATTAATAAATCAAATATTAATTTTACCCAATATAATCCAAAAGAAACACATCCTCAAGCGATATATAAGTAGGCATTTTCCTTTTTTGAAATCAAAGAAAGTTGAACATGGTAATTGTATTTTTTAAATGATTATTTTGGTTTTAAAAAAAAATTATTTACATTAATTATTATTTTAGATACAAAACAGTGGGATTTTGAAGTTCCTGATAAAATAAGTGAGTATGGTATTTCTTGAATTATTTATTTTTAATCCATTTAATTAACGAGATAATTAACATTAAATTTTGCATAGTTGAAGAAAATAAAATTCTAGAAAATTAATCTTTAATTTGTTGAGGATAAATATTAATTTTGATGAAATTTAGCAAAAATATTTAATCTAATAATTTGTAACTATAGTTTTTTTTATCTGAAATATTTTTTTTACGATATTTATATTTATTATATTTATTTTATTTGGTCACTGTAATTAAAGAGCATAGTTTTTTATTTAAATTAAAAACAGTCTAGTATGTAATCACTTAAAATAAATGATTGTTGTTTAATTTGTGTGTGTAAGAATTGTAAATATGTTAAGAGGAATTTGAAGAGTAGATTATATCTGAAAAAAATTATATAATTAATATATCAGTGGATTAAATTTATTGTTTGAGTAATATACTTCACATCTAATATTCAAAATACAGAATATATTCACAATATCAAGTTGCAAAGAACCAATTCATTAAACTAAATCAAATTTCTTTTAATAAAAGTCTTATTCATCTTTTTAAATAAGAATGGAGATTATCAAAATTTATCACTCTGTTAGTTAGTATAATCCATTTTTTTTCTTCCCCGAGATAGATAACAGAATCCATTTTTCTTCTTCCGCGAGATAGATAACAGCAAACATTCTAAAAAATTGACTATTATTATTATAGTTAAGGGAAACTTTATAATTAAATAGATTAGATAGTCTACTTTATTACTATTACTATAATAGACTTTGATTATGATACAGTGGATTTTAATGAAGAATTCTAGGTAAAAGAATATTTTGTTTATTTGTTTATTTGTATTTATTGTTCAAATTAACGCATCTGAATTATGGCGCAATTGACAAGGTTTAGTTCAGGAAATTTGTCATCTGTTGAGTAAAGGATTTTTTCAACTATTGTATTTTTTTTATAGAACCAGATGATATGGAAGAAAGGAATACTGGCACTGGTATATTATTGGATTATTGAATTTTTGATGATTCGATAATTAATTTAATAATTTAAAATATAATAAAATAATTTAATAATGATATAAATTTTATGAAGATATAAATATTTTTATTTATCAACACACGTATATACACACTTGACAGTTATAAAATAAATCATGAAATTCTATGGTAATAATATATTACTTTTATTTAATTTAACAAATAATACACAAAAAAAAATTTCTATTCCTGTCTGTGTTTCTCATTGAAAGCAGTTGTTGTCTTTCCTATTTGTTATGGTGGTTTTCTTTATTGTCTAAGAATAATGTTCTACTTTTTTTGATGATTAAAAAGTTATTAAGATGAAATGAAATTTAAAAAGATGCGATAAAAAAATTCCTATCATAAAAAACATATCTCAATTTTTTTGTAATAAATTCACATACAGTATAAGTATGTGAGGCCATTATTTCATCTGGAAATAGTTTATTAATCAATTCTTGAGAAACCGGTAATCGAAAATACAAAGCCAAAAAGAATTTATAATGATAATAGAATATCTGATGGATTAAATAAATTTATTGGGATTCCAACAATAGCTGATGCCTTTTCGGAGGGATATTGGTTCTTGTGGAATCAAGTTTCTAATATCTTCAATAATTTCCCTTGACGATTGGAATGATTCCATATGATATTAAAAAGGTTTCATGTATAATGTAAAGTTTTCTAGTATTTCTATGTGAACTTTTTCAAAAGCCAAGTTCTTTCTCAATTTTCTGCAAGTCATAAATAATGTCATGACCAAACTCTTAAATTTCTTTCACTAAACTGAAGAATTCTATCATAATCATCTTCCTATTGGTAAGATATTAAATTATCATTTCTTAACTGTTCAAGTGTTAATGATTGAATATAATATTGAAGTGTCCTTTCAGTTTCTGTAAAGGAATCAGAATCTTCTAAAAATCTAAGGGATCTGTAAGTCCCAGGAGTAATTGTCATAATTTCTTCTAAGAATTTATCTTGTATAAAAATTAAATATTCAAGAATTACACAAAGATAAATTCCACCATCTTTGGGTTCAATTAATGCCAAAATGAGTTTCTGGTCAATATGTATTTTAGGTTTTATATCAATTGTATGACTTTGATATCTTTCTACACTATCAATCACGGAATTCCAAGCTTTCTAAAAATTTTTAAAAGTTGTCATTAATGCATCTTCATTCCTCTCACTTGAAATATATTTACAGAATGTTAAAGTTAAAGCTTCTTTTCTAATTAATCAATAAGAATGGTGAATTGATAATAATTGAAAAAATCTAACAATATCCCAAAGATGTTTTACATATATTAAATTTTCTTCAAATTTGAAGTACACAGATAATACTGGAAATTTTTCTTGATAATGAACTATATTTTCAATAAGCATTGTTGACCCTAATGGCCAACTTTTATTCATTATTATATTTTTTTTATCTTATTTATATTTTATTCTATAATTATTATTTTATCATCATGTATTTATTAGTCTAGTTATATTAGTTTAATTTCTTATTTTATTAGTATATATCTACAGGAAAATATTAATGTAAATTACTTTGAAATTGGTACTACTATTAAGTATTATAACTGTAGATCTGAGCATAATCAACAGTGTAGTGTATAGTGTAATCAATAGTGTATTCAATGGTGTAATGTACAGTATAATAGATAGCATAGTAGAAAGTGTAGTTAATAGTGTATACTATACTTACATGCAAAATTATTTTGGAGCCCTGAAATTACAATTTCAGAAAAAAAAGTCAAAATAGTTTTTCATAGAAGGCAAAATTATTTTACTTAAAACCCAAAATTTTTTGACCTCCTAGATTTATTCTTTGATTGAATATACACATAACTGGGTATTTTTTTTACTTCCATATATAGAATAGATTCTGCATAAATCTCAAAAAGTTGAAATATCTCAAAAATTCAAAATCAATTTTGGAAACATGTATAGTGTATACATCAGCATAATTAATAGTATATGTATTAGCATAGTCTACAGTGTAAGCTATTATAACTTCAATTATATATATAAAGGGCTGAATTTCTCTTCACTCAATCTTCAGACAGATAGTCAATTGGTTAGAATTAGTTAGTTCAATAGTTAATTCTTAATTCCTTTACTAATTCTGTTAATAAAATACTTTGTGATTTATCTTATAAATAATAAATACTTGTGTGGATTGTTATTTATATCATTATAATTTCTTAGTGAAATTCTGTATTATTCCTTAATGAAATACTGAAACCCTTGTTAATTTATACCTTGCTTTGTAAACTCAGTATATAGTTTTTGTATTATAATTCTCTACTTAGTGTTAGAAATTATCAGTTTAGTTTATTTTATATCTTATTCTTTGTGAATAGTTCAGTTAAACCCTTATAAAAATCTCATAGCCTTGTCTCTTTTGAACAAATTCACAATACTTAAATCTTTCAAATATCATGCTTTTTGTAGTATAAATTAGTTAGTAGTAATATATTTTAGTTTAGCTACTATATCTTTAACTAATAGTTAATCATATCTCTTAAAGGTCAGATCATGATTAACAATATAAGAACTTTCAAAAGCAGTAATTCTAATTTTATGTCAAAGCCAATATTTATCAATCATCATAGTTTGATTTACTTCTGATTAAATGACAGACATTATTATTGATTTTTTTTTATAGCAATTGATACTGTATTAAGCCTACAGAAATTGTGGTTGTTTCAGTTATACTTTTGAATTGGAAAGATATATAATCTCTGGTAAATTGAGTTTCCCATTCTTCATGTTGTTTAAAAAAAATACACAAGTATAGATAATAACTGATAATCATAGATAAATAAAGATAAGTACAGAAAAGTATGGGAATCCTCAGATATATTCAGATATTTAATCCATATCTGTAATAAACTCAAAAAGATGATAATAAACTATACAGTATGATCAGATATACAAATGAGATTTAAGAATTTTTGTATGAACTTTTAAATGATCAAATTTTATACATAACATATGCTCATATTACACAATCCACTTAACTGTAATGTACAGTTTATTTGTATACCCAAAGCTTATGGATAATCCATCAGATTGTACTCTTGATCAAAATAATAAAAACTTAAAAAAATAGATCAAACTGTCAAAAAATATTAAAATATTAAAAATGGAAATTAAATATTTTTTGTTTAAAATAATAAAGATATCTTTAGTTACTTTAATAGCTTATATCTTATATTATTATTACAAATATTTTACATGTGAGAATTCACTTTCCAGTTCTTTTCTATTTCTATTTATTAGTAACATTCATCAAATTTTGAAAAATTTTACTTTAGATGTAAAAGAATTAGTCAAATATAATGATCTCTATGAATTTTATATGGGATTCCAATGTTTTATTTTATTGAGTAATGATGACCTTATTTAAAAGATTATGAGACCTGTCATTAATGACCCATTTTATAATAAAGTAAGTGATGATTATGAAGGATTTAAAGATACTAGTTTATTGAATAATGTTTAATGTTTAATAATAATTATAATAAATAGCAATACTATCATAAATTCTTTTCTAAAGTAATGATGTCTCCCTCATTTATTAAACAATCTGTGATAGCAATACAAAATAGTTTTTTAGAAATGAAAAAATATTGGAAGAAACTTGGAGAAAATAAAGTATTGGAATTTAATCTTGGTCAAAACAATATTTCTTTAATATTATTTTTGTTACTATTACCAATAAACCTATGTAAATTATTATAGTAAAGTAATTTCAAATGAAAAATTATCTTTACCAAAAAGTATTCTTATAGAAAATGATATGTTTGTAAAATCAGTAGATACATTTACTTGTAACATGATTTATTTTTTTTTTGTTCTTAGAATTATTCAAAATTTTTCTGGAATTAATAGATATACTCAATACTTTAAAGATAAAAATAGTTGGTTAGAAAATAATATCTATAAAATTATTAATTAAAATGAGAAGAGATTGATAAAACTTCAATTGATCAAAAATTGAAATCTGACATATTGATGTATTTAATGGTGAACACTGAGAGAGATGTTATTGAAAAGATTGCAAATGATCTTTATGATAAACTAATGTTTGATAAAAGTATTGCTGCTAATTTTATGAAAGTTATAATTGGCAGTATTGATACAGTAGATAAATTATTTAATCTTAATTTCTTGATATGATGAATTTTCTCCTCTGGTTAAAAAAAGTTTAGTAATAATAAAATTTTTATTCTTTGTACAAAGTGCAAATTCCATGTAATAATAATTTGGAAGTAAAAAAACAAATGATAGAAAAAATTGAATGTGTTCTTGATAAAAATTCAAATTCCTTATTTAAATTAGAAGATTTATTAAAACTTGAATATGTTAAAGCAATCATAAAAAAAGTAATTTTCTATGTTAAACTCATTATTATGTTTATATTTAATATAGTATTATATGATGATAATAATATCTTATTTTTTAAATATCAAATATTCTATAATTTTTATAATTTTTATAACTGTAACATCAAGAGTTTATTTGTTAGTACCAACAGATTTTAAAAAAAACTCTATGTCAGAAGTTATAGGAGGTTATAAAATGATCCAAGGATATTATTTTTATATTAAATCTTGATAAAATTCAAAAAATGAATCATATTGAAAAGATCCTAAAATATTCAATCTAGATAGATTCATGGATAAAAATAATTCAGATAATAAAAAATGTAAGTATAAGTAATTTTCTTTTTTTAATTATAAAAAAAAAATACATATAATAACAGAATAATAATTAATTCATTTGCAAGTCTAGAAAGAAATTTGGCAATAATAAAAATAAAAGTAACTCTGGTAATATTGAATCAAAAATATAATATTTAACTAATGGGTCCATTAAAAGAAAATATTAAGATAATTAGAAAATACAATGAATTAACAATTAAATTGAAAAAAAAACTTGTAATTTTTGTGCAAAAAAATTAGAACTTAGAACTGGATTTATATAATCCAGTTTCATCTGAATATCACAAGTGACCTAGTTGAAACTTTTGAAACTAGTTTATCAATTCAGTTTATAAATTCTAATCAATTTAGACACGTGTAATACTCTAATTGATTGATTTATTCATTAGAGCTTATTTAAAATTTTTTTTTTTTGTAACTATAATTTTTAAAATAAATTTCTTTATTATTTTTTTATTTTTTATTACAGTTATGACTTCTTGAAATTGTAACAGATAAGCAAAGGTAAATTTAATTTATTCTTATATTTTTTATTTTTTAAATAAATAAATATTTACTTTCTCTTTTTTAGGTTTGTGGTGGACATGTATAAAGATCTTAAAATCAAGTTTATAGGGTTCGTGAGATTTATAGTTATTCAGAATCACAACAGTTACGCAAAGGTACATTTTATTTTTTTTATTTTTATAAATAAATACTTACCTTCTATTCTTTTCCAAGTTCATGGTGACATGTCTCCTTGAAATCGAGTTCATAAATTTGTAGAATTTTATACTTTCTCAGAATTACAATGAATATGCAAAGATACGTTTTATTTTTTATTCTTTATTTTCTATTCTTTATAAATAAATATTTACCTTTTTTTTTCCAAGTTTGTAATAGTACTACAGAAATGAAATCATCATAAAAAAATATATAGTATACAATATTAAAAATACCTGTAAATATTTAGCAATAATGGTATTAATAAATATTAATTCATTTAATGAATGGTAATATTTTAATAATATTTTAACTAATATTTACATTTAGTGATACATATTAATTAATCATATGATAGTAGTATAAGATCACATGTTCATATGACATTTAGCTATACAAATATAATTATCAATTCATAATATTTATTATTATTATTTAACAATAATTATTAATCTCTATTATCAATTAATATTAAATATATTTAGTAAGTAATAGTAGCCAATAGAAGTAATATACAGTAAGGCACAGTAATTAAGATCGTTAGATTTAAAAATATAAAAAAGAGATTGAATTTATCTTGTTTTCTTTAGTTTACAATTTTATAATTTCGAATTTTGATAATTTGTAACTTATTTAATATTAATAAGCTTAATTTTATAATTTGTAATTTCAAGATAAAAACTTGTAAAAATTATTTTGCAATTGAATTAATAAAATAATAAATATTGGAAATATAAAATAAAAATTATAAAAATAATTATTAAATATAAAAATATAATAGTTAATAAGGAAATAATAAATATTATTTAATTAAATAGTTGATTGTATAATTGTATAATATTATTATTCTTGAGTTAATGAAATTAATTACAAACTATTATTATAAATCCTAGAATTGGAATAATACTCAACTATGATAAAACTAAAAAATAATTAATGAATAAATATTAATACTAAAAGTAAGGATGAACTTGAAAGATATTGAAATAAATTAAATGAAAGGTCTAGAATATACATGTTCCCAAAATTGATTTTGGATTTTTGAGATATTTTGACTTTTTGAGATTTATGCAAAATCTATTCTATATATGGAAGTAAAAAAAGTACCTAGTTATATGTATCTTTAATCAAAGAATAAATCTGGGTAGTCAAAAAATTTCGGGTTTTAAGTAAAATAATTTCGTCTTCTATGAAAAACTATTTCGACTTTTTTCCCCAAAATTGTAATTTCGAAGCCCCAAAATAATTTTGCGTGCAAGTATACTTCGGTCAACTCAAATCAACTATTATGTCTAATTATTCGAACAATTCTTTTGCCAGAGAACTACAACGATTAAGAACTTGAAAATAATCAACACTCAAATTTAAGATCTCTAAACGAAAGCGTAAACAAAAAGAGGAAGTCAAACCATTTGATAACAACAACATTGATTACAATATTTATAACTTTGACAACGATAATAATTCTTTCACTTATTATCACAATGATTACAACTACAACCAAGAAGACAATAACAACATGACTACCAATCAACACATATTAACTTATCTACAACGAAACTTAGGAGGTACTACAGTTTAAGTAGAACCTTTTTATGGTGATGGACTACAAGACCCCTTAAAATGGATGGAGGATTTTAAAAAAGCCACTCGAATAAATGATTGGGATAATAATCGAAAAGGCACTATGCTAAAAGCCCATTTACAAGATGATGCAAAGGAATGGTGTGAAACGACAACTGCTACCACTTGGGCCGAATGGCTTCAAGCCTTTAAAGAATTCTTTTGTATCTTCTGATGGATTAACAAGTGGTATCGTGAATTAGAGAAACTATGACAAAACAGTGACGAAGCCATTGACACTTACTATGCTGCTCATAGACGACTTATTAGAAAAATTAATAAAATAGTCGAAATGCCAGCTACTGATCAAATGCGTTATTTTGTGAAAGGCTTACGACCAGAGCTCACATCAATAATTATAATGAACGATCCTGCTGATGTCGCAACTGCAGTGGACCTTATTCGAAAGTATGAAGTAGGTGAAGATGTGGTAAAATGAAAAGAACCTCGCAAGGCTTGAAAGGAACTCGACTCTGAGTCCGAAGAGGAAGTTAAACCAAAACGAAAGGAATCCAAAAAAAGGAAAGAAAAATTTGAAAAAGGAGACTTGGATGACCTTGTCCAAAAATTTGAAAAACTCCAAATCAATTTGGCACAAAAACTTGATCAATTGAATAACCAAACAAACCGATGGGGAAATAACCGAAACTCTTTTCCTTCAAATAACTCAGGCAATCAATACTATAAATATTCGACTTTTCAATAATTAAAATAACA